CCTGAAGCCTTGAAGACCTGAAGCCTGGCGACGACCTGAAGCCTAGTGACGACCTGAAGCCTTGAAGACCTGAAGCCTGGTGACGACCTGAAGCCTTGAAGACCTGAAGCCTAGTGACGACCTGAAGCCTTGAAGACCTGAAGCCTGGTGACGACCTGAAGCCTAGTGACGACCTGAAGCCTTGAAGACCTGAAGCCTAGTGACGACCTGAAGCCTTGAAGACCTGAAGCCTCTTCGTGTCTTCGCGTGTCTTCGTGTCTTCATATCTTCGCGTCTTCGGTGTCTTCGTGTCTTCGCGTGTCTTCGTGTCTTCGGGTCTTCGCGTGTCTTCGTGTCTTCGCGTGTCTTCGTGTCTTCGCGTGTCTTCGCGTGTCTTCGCGTGTCTTCGTGTCTTCGTGTCTTCGCGCAAAAGTCACAACCCGCTTCTGCCAACGCAATGGTTAGAATGCCATGTGGTTTCCCAAAATTTTTTGATGCCATGAGATAGAATGCCGTATTGAACGGGTTAGAATGCCGTATTGAACGTGCTTTTTAAAGAAAACCATGAGAAACACGTGCTTTTTTGCATGCTATTTGTGATGTATTGTACATTTAGAATGCTGGCTGATTCTAGGCGGTGCCCATTAACCTGTAACATAAAAAACACCGACAAAAACACGACAAATAACAATTGGAATGCCGCCTACAGGTCTTCAAAAAGGTTGGTTGGATGAATGGATGGATGGTCATGGATAGATGGAGATGGATGGAAGTGGGTGGGTGGGTGGATGGATGGATGGATGGATGGATGGATGTGGGTTTGTGGGTTTGTGGGTAGGTGGATGGATGGATATGGATGGAAAGGGTGGATGGATGGATGGATGGATGGATGGATGGGGTGGGGGGTAGGCGGATGGATGGATGGATGGATGGGTGGATGGATGGATGGATGGATGGATGGAACACACAGCTGGAATGCGTCCCAATGAGGTGTTTCTGGGCAATGTATGATGGCTTGCAACGTTGATTCACTGTGCCAAAAATGCACGTCTATGTCTATGTATGTATACAACTATAAAATGCCTAACTTTCAGTCCTCTCAAACAAATAAAGTAGATCTTCAAAATAGCTTGTGCATACATATAGCATCTGGCGCTCTCAACACTTGCATCCTTGCATCAATCCCTTGACAAGTTGTGGTAATGGCTTTATCCTATTTGCATGTTCCATGTGCATTGCTTCGACAATTCTGAGCCATTTGCAGGCAGGCGACGAACTCATACCAACACATAAAAGCAATCATAAAAGTCATTCTATCTGCTTGATCTGTTTGTAAGGGTCGTTATCTTTTGTTCTTTTTGCGGGCAAGCGATGAACTCATATCAACACATAAAAGAAATCATAAAAAGGCATTCTATCTGTTTGATCTGTAGTAAGGGTCGTTCTCTTTTGTTCTTTTTGTGGGTTTTACAGGTGCAACGGCATTCTATCTGGGTCATGATTTCATGATTGCGGCACCTTACCTGCGGTTTGCTGAAATCATCGAAAATCGGCATTGGCATTTCCCAAACCGTCATTCTAACTTTCTGTCCTCGAAGAAGCATTCAGTGAGCTCTGCAGCACGGTTTCGGAATGCAAGTGTGAGACAAGTTCTGAAAGTCATCTTCGAGCATGAAAGTCTGATCAAAGCAGGGGTCCAAAACCGGACTTTGAGGGAAATTCTCTACTGCATAGGAGTAAAGACTCAGTGTCGGCGCCCCGGTGGGGTACACACAGCTTACCACAGTGGGGAGAAGCTGCGATACACACTTGAGAAAAGTGCTCCGTGGAGCGAAGCTTTAGGAGTTCACAGTGAGCATTAAGCACTTCAATATTCCTTAGTTACTGCAATATGGCAATACCAGATTAGGGCGCTCAACACCTTGACCTTCAAAATGGCCCTGTGAGGAACGGAATGGCGAGAGTGTCCACTAAATCAACAAAATGTTTGTTAAAAATTGGTTCAGGCACGTTCGGAGGATCAGTCCGAATGTCCCACTCCGTGGCGTAGCTTCGTTGAATTGGGTCAGTCACAGTGTGCCCAGTTCCCCTGCTGAATGGAAAGCTCTGCAGATGTAGTAATGAAATAAAAATGTAGAAGCCCTGGAGACGGGAATTGGCGCAAAAATGCCTACAGCAGCAGCTTCTGCAGCAAGTGACGAGCGGACTTTTTCTGCTCTCAAACACACTCCGTTCAGCAACTAATCATGACGCAAGCAAAAGCAATGAGTTGAGATGGGGCAGGCTGGCGATAGCATCAAGTAATTCGCATCCAGATTGTTTGGGCATGGCGGTGCAATGACATGGTTTCTGTCTTGGATGTAGTTCTGGCTTCAGGATTTGTTGCAAACATGCACTTTCAGCACTGACCCGGCTTCGCCATAGCTTTGATACCTGGCTGATGGTTTTTGCAGCTACATGTGCCTATGACGATGGCAATTCCAATGCTATGAGTTGTCCAGTATCCACTGCCTATGTTGAGATGAGCTGAAGAGAACAAGAAAAACAAAGGCATTGGTTTACCTACATTGCGCGCGGCTCCATAATACCGATGATTTTGTTAGCCTTCAGCGCAAGTTCACGAGCAATTTTCTTGATATTTCTCCATCTAAGTCTCAGACATCATGAAAGCCAGCGCGCCCAGCCAAATGCAAAGCACTCCTTGATCAACCAAAACTGCATTCTCACACGGCACGCAACCCCTCTATCCCGTAAAGTCTTTATGTGGAGCCCTACCGAGGCCCATGCTGCCCCTTCCGGTTCAGGACGCCGGCCTCGCATGGTTTTTGGGCAAGGACCATTTGGTGTGTCCATTGAGTCCATTGCACCTCTGCCCTGCGTTCCACGAGCAAGCGGCAAATTTCCTTGGAAGGCCTTAGTTGCAAGTTTTTTGGCGGACCACTATGATCGCAGCAAACAGCTGTCATCGCACAAAAGGTTTCAGATACACTACTGTTTGCAGCCGCAACAGGCTGCCACTAAGTGCGCCAAATGTGTGTGCGTGTGTCAAAACCTGTCTCTAAGGAACTTGGCCACACCAAGGAACCCACCATTTGTGATTCGATTCAATGTTTAGCACTTGCATGTACAGTGTACAGCACAGGGGGGGTGAGTCTCATTCCATCCACTGCCCAACGAAGACGGTGGCTTGAGATATTCCCGAGGGACGCCTCAGGAACGTACCTGCAGCAGCCACGCGTGCACTTGGTTAAACATGGTAAAACCATACTGTTTAGGCTGACTCTTTCACCTTATCGTTGCGAGCAGGGCCTTTTCAGGTTTCAGGTTTCCAGCGTTCTAGATGGGTAATGCAGTAACTACCACACGGGGATGTCGCAACAGCTCTTGCCAGCATTGATCTAAGTGTGTGTGTGTGCGACACCCTTGGGCTCAAAGGGAACCTTTTGGTCTGTTAAGCAGGGGGCACAGGTCCATTGTGGATACCTGTGCCAACGACGCTATTCCACAATGGGGGAAGCGGAGATTGATCACCTCCGTGTACCTGCTGATGGTTGCGGCGATTGGTGGCCACCTCCTTCTCTAGGATTCCAAGCTGTTTAGGTTCGACGTTCAAGTCGGCAGACGCACTCGTCGCTCGGAACTTGCCGGTCGACTTTCGGTTTTTTTCGTGCACTTTGAGATATTTGAGATTTATTAATGGAGGCCTTCATGTTCAGACCGTCTTACATACTTCTACCCTGACTTCTTAGGTCGGTTTTGTACCTCGGTGGGTCAATTCCGTACGCAATATCCCGATTTTGTTGTGTGTGTGTGTGTCAACTCCTGTTTCCCGCATTTGTACAGGGTTGCGAATTTATTTCTGGATTTTTTCGTTTTTTTTTGATTTTTTTTCGTGTTTCGCGGCAGGTGCAGTACTTTGTGGACCTTGCAAAGCACATTTCGTGGCAGGTGCAGGACTTTGTGGGCCTTGGAGTGCAGAGTTTGTGGCAGGCGCAGGACTTTTTGTGGGCCTTGAAGTGCAGATTTCGTGGCAAGTGTAGTACTTTGTGGCCCTTGGAGTGCAGATTTTGTGGCAGGCGCAGGACTTTGTGGACCTTGAAGTGCAGATTTCGTGGCAGGCGCAGGACTTTGTGGACCTTGAAGTGCAGATTTCGTGGCAGGTGCAGGACTTTGTGGGTGTGGAAGTGTAGAGTTGGTGGCAGGTGCAGGACTTTGTGGGCCTTGGAGTGCAGATTTCGTGGAAGGCGCAAGACTTTGTGGACCTTGAAGTGCAGATTTCGTGGCAGGTGCAGTACTTTGTGGATGTTGAACTGCAGAAAGATAGAAAGATAAATTGATAGATAGATTAGATAGATAGATAGATAGATAGATAGATAGATAGAGGAGGCATATTTGCTTGGTTAGAAAGTTTTGCACCGGGGAGTTCACCTAAAAATATTGATTCCGTGGCAGGCGCGGGTGTCGGGGATGAAGTGCAGATTTCGTGGCGCGGGGGGGGTTGGGGGGGGCGCAGCGCCCCCCCCCCCAGCAGCACACCAGATCCAAAGGTGATCAGCTCGTGCTTGCTTTTTGGTTTCATCTCTGCAACGAAAACAACAGGAAAAGCAAATACAAAAAGAGAAAGGAGAACAGCTGCCAAAAGAAAGAAAGAAAGAAAGATAGATAGATAAATAGATAGGTATAGACAGATAGATGGATAGGCCAAAAAGCCAAAAGCCACAAAAGCCACAGAAGCCACGAAAGCCACGAAAGCCAAAAGCCACAAAAGCCAGAAGCCACGAAAGCCACGAAAGCCAAAAGCCACAAAAGCCAGAAGCCACAGAAGCCAAAAGCCACAAAAGCCAGAAGCCACAGAAGCCAGAAGCCAGAAGCCACGAAAAACAAAAAAAACAAAAAAAGAAACAAAAAAGAACAAAAATAAATACCCCTCCTTTGTACAGTTCCGCAGTGGGGCAGTGGACCACGATCACTCGCTGCCCACCGAAGACAGTGATAGTTTGGTCGTGATATCCACAAGGGACGCTTTCTGGACGTACCTGCAAAGTTTTTAAATCCAGCTCTTCATGTGTCACCTTTGTTCTAACAATACTGTTGTCGCGGAATACCGTTCTGCAAGTCAAGCACTAAGTATTCATCTAAAGGGTTAACGCACTGGAATTCAAAACTGATATAGCTCTTGCGAGCATGGATCTCAGTGTGTTTCGCAACAGGGTCACCGGCATTTCGGATCTGCTTGATTCATTCCTGACTCTGCGTCTTGCTCGAGATTGCTGGTTCTATGCTGTAGAACTTACTGATAATGTACTCCAGAATGACCTATCATGCGGCTAAGTAGTCTTTAGCAGAATGACATGTCGGCTAGTGTGATCACATGTGATCCAATTGTTTAAACAAACTGAATAATTCATGCACAGTCTTGCTTTCTCTCCTTCCTTGTTTCTCTTTCTAGGTCTTTCTTTCGTTGCTAGAGGCTTGTTAGGTTTCAGGTTATAAAAATTATAGTGAAGGGAGCGTCGATTTCGGCATTTTGGGTGTCTGGCTATGTGCCTTTCAACCACCCCTGCCCCACACGCACACCCCTGCACCCCCTTTCTCTCCTTGCCTTCTTTCGTTTGTTAGGTCTTTTCTTCAGGCTTGTTAGGTTGCTGTTTAGACTCGTTTTAGTCGATCCACACTCCCCCACCCCGCTCCTTCCCTCACCTTACCGTTCTGCAAGTCAAGCGCTAAGTATTCATCTAAAGGGTTAATGCACTGGAGCTCAAAACGGATATAGCTCTTGCGAGCATGGATCTCAGTGTGTGTGTGTGTGGGTCCTGCTAATCTTGATTATATAATTTTGGCCGCCTGCGGGTTCCCTACGGTGCTACTTACCACTCACTTGTTCCCACATGGCAGGGAGCGGGCGATTCTGTGACTGACCATGACAGACCTAGTTTAACACAGCTGGGCCACGATACTGATCATCCAAACGTGCTTGCACAACTTTGGGTGCCACAAACCCAGCCCGTTGAACACAAGCTGCCACTAGAAAAGTCACTGCTGCATTTAAGCCACTGCGAGAGGGTCGAGGCCACTCATGAGTTTGAAGTCCTTATTATATTTACTGCCCTGATTTGTAGGCCGCGTGTGATCTTTGGATGTTCGCGCCTACCTCATCGTTTGACAGAGTTTCATCACCTGCGCGCGTGCGCGAAAAAAATGCTGCAAGAAGAATCTGTTTGGCGCACGTGCGGGAAAGGCAACAAAACCAATACCAGCAACAGGGACATCGACAACAAGCCTTATGGCATCGCCGATTTGCGAAGCTCTACAAGAAGCTTGCTCAGGAAACATTGGTCAACATTCAGTAATCACCATGAGTGAGCCATACTATCGAGGTTCTTGCTTGCTGAATGCTGAATATTGCGAATGCAAAGGAACTAGGAGTTACGCCAATCACGAGATGGTAGTATGTCATAGTATGTGTCCAGAAGTCCTGACGCATCTGACCTGTCGCACTTTCACGTGCACACTGCTACCACGAGCGACGTCACATTGGATGAAACCATGTTCACGATGTTCACATGTTTCCCGCAAAATGTAATTGCTAGAGTTTTGACAGTGTCGCCAATCTGACACAACCAGGCCGCAACCTGAGGAGGTTCTCGTTTACCACATCTTTCTCGAGTTCCACTCAACTCAACCCATTCACAGAGTCAGAGCGTGTGTGTGTGTGTGTGTAATCAACTGCTGGTTGCATGCATGAATTTGGTGGGTATGCTAATGTCAACGACTGAACTCAATCTGAATCTTAACTGTCGTTTCTGTTGGCGATGATGAAAGTTATCCTCACTGAGTGAGTGTGGCCTTTCACGGATGTAATACACAGTCTATCAAACTACTTGAGAAGTTTGAGTACTCCAAATGATTGTAAACTGTATGTGACATGTTCACTCCTGATTGCACGATTTGCTTACAGTCATCAAAGCTTGTAGGGAGCTGGAGGGCCTGCAGGGAATTTCGCACTTCTGAGGCCAACGAAAACAGCTACAACATTCAGTGATGTCACTGGAGACATTTGGTGACGTACCTGCTCATTTTGCGTCAGCTGGTACGTGGCTGAGCCCAGAACTGAAATAGGACGACCACATGCACAGTTTTCGTGACGATGTTGCAATTCCTACCATTCTATATTATGAATGTTTTCACGACGAGCTTCGGGACGACGTCAATTTACTGTTCCTCACTTCCCCCATCCGATTTCTAGTGTTTCGAGCGCTCATGGGTGTTATCCGACCCCGTCAGTGAGCCATGGACTCGCCTAGAGATAAATACCCAATGGCGGGAGGCGCATGGCGCGTTTCTTGGGACCACCAAATCTGCACGGATATAGGAATGTGCCCGTAAGGTAAAAAAACTGTGGGATGCGATGATACGACACCGCAAAAACATGTCATTTGTATTCAATTCTGGTTGCACGCACATATTCTTGCATGCCCATAGTGGGATCCAAGTTGCATCTCCTACTGACATCCAATTGAACGTTCAAAACATGTTCCATCGCTACGAGCCAAACAGCATTTGATCCCGGACCTATGCCCCTTGCGCAAAGAACAAAGGTGTCTGTCTATGTCGGTCTGCTGCATCCACCTCACCAGCCAACAGAACCCTTGTTCGCACCATCAAGAATATCACAATGTGGAGAATCTTCCTACACTCTATGTTCCATGACACTGGGCCATAAGGTCATTAATTAGGGCCCTGACATCCGCCTTTGAGTTGAGGAGGACCTTGCAAAGCTCAGCATTCCTAAGTAACTGCAGTTGACGAAGTTGGCACCACATGGCACCACCAAGGCGCACTTTGAAGGCTTCCCAATTTCTGGGTGTTTCTTACCAAGGGATGCACCCATCAAAGACTGCGATGTGCAAGGCTGTGACCTCAGGAATCATACGCTTGGCAGCACGCAATTGAGTAACCAAACAGAGGAGAGAGAGAGAGAGAGAGGGAGAGGGAGAGGGAGAGAGAGAGGGAGAGAGAGTGGCTCAAGATTTGGGCTCAAGCTGGGACTGTGCCGTGTGGTGGCACTACGTCTGTCCCTTTGCGGACCCAAAGGACAGGAAGAACCCTACAGGGAGGAGATCGTGAAGGTCACCATCACCCTTGCCCGTGATCGAGTTTGAAGAGACCTTTGTCCTTGAGGAGCGAGATGGTGGCACCTACATGGGAAGGGTGGATGTACCCTAAGCGGCGTAGGCAGAGGACCTACCTTTGCTGTCAGGGATGCTCAACATCATGGATCTGGGCAGATCGGATCAGTGCTGATCGATGGAAGTGTGACAAATGCAACCTGGCATGGCCGCAGAATCCATGGAATAAGGAGAAGTCCGCATCACCCAAGCGACGTGGTTGACCCCGACGAGATCGGAGTGTTCTTGTGGACAAGCCGCCTGGACTGGGACAAAGGCCACAAACCTCAGGGGTGGAACGGGCACTTCAGAAAGGATGGACAGACTAGCTTGAGCAAAGATGTTCAGGAAGCCTTGAAGGTGGTTGGCATTGACTACACCCCAGAACCCGAGCTACAGCCGTTAGAGGAGGTCTTGAAGGCTCATATGGAAGCCCTCCCCAAAGAGGTCAAGGAGGCAGTGGAGAATCTGCTGGCCCCTGTGAAGCAGGAGCCAAAGGATGTCACTACGCAGCTGAAGACAACAGTTGGGGAGCTTCGCCAGTTGTCGAACAAGAAGGCAGGGCTCCAGAAGCGGGTGGACACTGCAAAAGAGCAGTACAAGACCCTCCTTGATGAGTTGAAAGTGGTTCAAGAGATGATCGACAAGGAGCAACAGCAGTTGACAGCGCAGTCGGCGGCCTATGCCAAGCTGTTGAAAGAAGAAACCAAGGAGGCGGAAGCTCATGAACCTACGGTAGATGATGATGTGAATGAGCATGTGATGAAAGCTCTTGCACAAGTGGGTATTCTGTACACAGACTCCCAGAAAACAGAGCTTGAACGGCAATTGGCAGAGAACATGCTGAAGCGCCGCAAGAAGGGAGAGGGCCAGCCGTCAGGGTAACCCTGACCGCAGGCCTGTGCAGGATTTGAGCGAGGAGAAAATGAGGAGGACCAAGCAGCAAGTTGATTTGGGGTCTTTGCTGCAGTTAGAACAGTCGGAGCAATTGCACAGTGATTGCATTGGGGATCGAACTTCAAACCAGAGGGAGTGTTTGAACGTGTGGGTTGACCCGGGAAGCACGTTACCTTGTGGGGATGCAAGCAGGCATGCATGTGAGTGGATTGAGAGTTGTGGCAGTGCCTTGGAATGTGACAGCCTCTGTGGGTATGAATGCTTTCAAGGTCGACAGCCGTATGTTGCATGTGAAGCCTATTGTGATACACCTTTCAATGAGTCAGGACATCACATGTGGCATAGCATTGCTTTGGGTGTGGATCATGAATTTTCTCGTGTTTTCACTCCAGCTAGCAGCGCCTTTCGTGCTATGATGGATGGCACTGCGGGCGACGGACTGACCATGGATGATGAAAGGGAAGAAGGCTACAATGAGATTCTGTTGGGGATGAGGAGTACTCTGAGTATGCACCAAGGGAGTACCCCCTCACTCCCTCGTGAGCCTGACCAGGTCCTGACCAACACCTCTGATCCAAAGCAATTGGAGGATAGCTTGATTGGGAACTCACCTTGTGACTGCAAAGACACAGAAGCAAGGTTGGGCTCAGGCCTTTTCCGGGAGTCCCCGGAACCTGCTAGTCTTGAGCTTGGAGTGCACTGGGCACCGGGTTTGCAAAGCACAGAGCGGCTAGGTGCGCCTAGACCTGCTGTAGGCGGGACCCAGCAGCACTCTGAGTCAAGAACTGGCAGCGGCTCACAATGTGCCTTACTTGGAGGAGGCAAACGAGGGCACTCACAGGATGATGTGTATGAAGATCCTGAACACATGGAGGAGCACATCACGCCAGGTAAATTACAGGACCGTTTGCTGGTGTTGCAGAGCAGAGCTCTTGATGCAATCCAGGCCTTGCCGGCCCATTGCAGGGATGGTTTTGGTTTTGACCAGGTGGAGACTAGAGTCTGGTGCCTAGAGGCCCTCAAGCATGTACTCAAGATGCGCCTGGCCTTGCAGAGCAATTTGCCATTGACCAGACCGGTCTACCATGAGCCGGAGATTCCACCGGCCATTGAACTGCTGGCTGCGAACCTCACTCTGAATATTGGCAACAAAGGAAACAGATGCTACACCAACACGGTGCTCCGCATGTGGTGCTGGATGGGAGCCCACCATCCCAAGCCACAAGAGTTCTGGGGCCCTTCAACAAAGTTGTGTCTACAGCTCCTTCAGCAGGATGTCATTGAAGACATATTCTGGGCTTCGGAACTGCAACCAGCCATTGCCAGATTGGAAAACCCTCAAAACCAGCATGATGCGTCAGAGTTTCTGGTCCACCTGTGGGAGCTTTGGGGTCAAACTGGCTTGCAAGGCAACTGGAGTGCACATTTTGGTGGACGAGAGCATGAATTTGATACCATCCCTCTCTTTGTCCGCATGCCAGTGGAAGCGGGTGATGAAGTTAACTTTGAGCAGTTGTTGGCGGAATGGGCCAATGAAGGCAATGGCCAGTGCCTTGGAAGTGAAGTTGAACACATTGTGTTCCATGTTGGCAGGTATTCGCTCTCCACCACTGCCAAAGAATGGGTTAAGCATCACAGGTCATGTGGGCCACACCACCTGTGTGCTGAGGGGCATCATTGCCCATCAAGGTGAAGAATTGATCTCAGGACACTACATTGCCATGTTGGTTGAAGGTGAAGCGGTCTGGGTTGTTGATGATGGTGAATGCCCACAAGTTCAGAAGGAGGTTCCAGACAATATCAAGCGGGGGGCGGTCATGATCTGGGCCTCACGTGCAGAGCAGAGCAACTTCTGGTCTCAAACAGTTGGCAGGTTTGATCCACCAGCCAAGAGGATGAAGACCTATGGAGGCAACATTGAAGTGTTCTATGGCAATGTCACTCAATGGAACCGAGATGTCAAGGACTGGCTGCTTCAACAAGACATCCAGATTGCCATGATGGTGGAAACGCATGTGACAGGGCATAAAGCTGCACTAGCTGGACAGCAATTGGCGAGAAGCCGGTGGAAGTTGGAAAAGCTCGATGCTTTTGAGACGGGCCGTGGTGGAACTAGCGGGGGCCACTTCTTTTGCTGCAGGGAAGGGCAGTCGACATATCGCATCCACCAGTATGACAAGGAAGGAAATGGATTCCTGGCTAACGTCCTTCAACGCCAAAACTGGGAGGTGGTGCTGGTGTCAGTATATCTCCGGACAGGAGAAGATCTGAACTCGGTGACAAATGCAATCATCCTTGGGGAATTGGCGGCCTTCCTAGGGGAACTTGCAGTGCCCTGGTTGTTGATTGGAGATTTTCAGGTTCCTCCGGAGCAATGGGCCGGGCATCAACTGCTGAATGTCCTCAAAGCGGAGGTTGTCAAAGGAGGTCAACCAACTATGATCACTGGTGCTGAACTTGACTATGTGATAGCCAGCCGCACTCTGACTCCGTTCATCGACATTAAGGTCAATTGGGATGTTCCGTGGAAGCCGCATGCAGGATTGGTGGTGACCATTGACAGTACAGCCCCAAGCCTGCATTTGCCGCAAGTCACCCAGTATGCTGCCATTCCAAAACTGCAGAGTAGCCCAAAGCAATGGGAGGATTGTCAGCCGTCCCCAAAACCTTACTGGCTGGGGAGACAGATTGGGCCAAAAGAAATCCAATGTGCAGAGTGGTGCCATTGTGCTGAACAATTCACCCTGCAGAATCTTCATGAGCCCAGGATGGGCAGAGGATGGTACCTGGCCATTGAACTCAAGCCTTTGCCGCAGACAAGGCCGTTGACACCCTGGAGGCGTGGAGACCTGGCATATTGGGGGCAATTCTGCTCGTTGTTGTCACACATTGAAAGTCGGGGTGTGGTCAGCCAGAATGCCATGATGCACCTGAGAGCCAAAGCAGCCGATCTGGAGATGAGGTGGCAGAACATTCATGGCGATGTTGACTTTCGTGAAGCATTGGAGGCTCTTATTTCGGGTGAGTCCATGCCACTGACGGTGCTTGTTCGTGGCGCAGAAGCCAATCAAGACTTTGCCAAGAAGGCAGCACTACAGCAGCAATCACAGGATTTCCAGGCCTGGCTTTCTCAGGCATCCTTGAAAGGACGCAGTGGCATTTACAAGTGCCTTAAAGCTCCCGATGTGGTTCATGTCAGGCCTTTCAGGAACGTGCCGGTCCAAGACAGACAGCAACTGCGGGAGCAACAATGGTATGCACGCTGGAAAGTCATCGAGCAGCCCAGAACCAGTGCTGAAAGGGAGCGCCTGAGATGGGGGGGCATTGTGCAGGCCAGAACGTGGGAAGACTTAGACCCACATCAAGTCAAGAAGAAGTTGGCCAAATTGCCTCAAAAGGCCAGTGGACCGGATGGAATAAGCTATGCTTTGCTCAAAAACCTGCCGCTGGAAGGTGTCACTGACCTGTGCCACATGTATCGGCAATGGGAATTATATAACTGGCAGGCTTCCTGATCAAGTTTGCACGACATTGGTGGTGTTGCTGCCAAAGAAAGAGGACATTGAGCGCCCCATCAGCTTGACAAGTGTCCTGTACCGCACGTGGTGCAAGCTTCGTTGGAGCAAGCTGCGCGAGTGGCAGAGCGGTGTTGGGCAGAGACTGCCATGGGAAAGAAGCATGCCTGGTATGCAGGTGCTGCATGTGGCCCTTATGCGCATGCTTAAGTGTGAGGTTTGCAAAGCAATTGGCCGCAACGTCATCTCCCTGCTTGTGGACTTGCAGTGCTTTTATGATTCAGTGGCACTGGAACAGCTGCTTGGGCTCTGGGAACCGTTGGACTTCCCACCAGCGGTGCTCAATGCAGTCTATGAAGTGTACTCTGGTCCACGGATGCTTCAGGCAGAGCAGGTCACATCGAGGGCAGTTCAATGTGAGCGCGGCATTTTGGCTGGTTACCCTGTGGCCCCGCTCATTGCCAAGTTAGTCTTGGCCCCTGTCATTGGCCGTTTCAGTGAAGCATTCCCTAGAGCTACGGTTGATGTGTGGGTGGACGACATTTCAGTCGACTTCGTTGGGAATGATGTGCAGTTGTTATGCAGAGAAGCACTGAATGGTTATGAGCAGTTGCGGCAGGGGCTGGAGGAAATTGGCTTGCAGCTGTCCAAGGATAAGACAGGGTTCCTGACTTCGTCAATTGAGCGCAAGAAGAAAGACCCTGAATCTTTTTCGTCGTGATGACCAGCCGAAAGTCCACGACCTCCTGAAGGATCTTGGCTTGGACTCCAGCGGGGGACGCCGTCGAAGAATTGGCACCCAACAAAAGCGCCTCCTCAAGGGCCGAGGAAGTTGCTGCATTTGAAATTGCGCTCCCGGCCTGTGAGGATTCGAGTTTGGAAGACCTCAGTCCATGCAGCGGCAGGCTATGGCTTGGAAGCACAAGGGCTTGCGCCCCAGAGGATGCGTGTCCTCCGTCAGCAACTGGCAAGGCATGGGGGGTTGCAAAAGGGTGGCAGTGTGGACATCGTCTTCGACCAGCATGCCAAGCTTCAGGATCCCAAGGACACCATTGTCGAACGACAATTGAAGGCTATGCACCAACTGCTCAAAGCATGGCCGCCTGCACAACTTGGGGATCTGAAAACTGCATGGCGCATATCCTGGAAGCGGCTGGCCACGGCAGCCTATCCATGGATGGTTGTAGCAGGACCCATGGCAGCTCTGCAGGCCTACTTGATGGACATGGGATGGGAGGCTGTAGACATGGACGATTGGATCAGAGCACCCACCTGTCTCATGCCGCCACATCAGTTGAATCTGGAGCATCCTTGGCCACACCTCCAGCGTCAATTGCATCTGGAACAGCAGCATCAGCGAGCTCGGCGGATACAAGAACTTGAGCACTGCTTCCCGCTGATGAGGAGGCCGGACTGGACCATCTATCATCGAGTGATGCGCAAGTTGAAAGGGCCTGCGAGATTGGCAGTGGATGCTTGGACTCACAGCTCTCTGAGGACTCATGGGGGAGGAGATCGTGTGGTGTGCCCCCTGTGTCATGTCCCTGTCACGATGAAGCACCTCATCTGGGAATGCTCCTATCATGAGGAGGCCCTTCCTGATGCATGGAGGCAAGACATTCGAGCCAATGATCACTCAATGCTGTGGTCTCGTGGTCTAATTGAAGAGCCTGACTACCGGCCAGTGGTTGGCATGGACTCCCTGGAGGTGCATGGAGTGCTTGCTCATGGATGGCCGGTCCGCCTCAATCCAAATCAGCGCCTGGCTATAGGTGTCCGACCCACGTGCAAAGATGGCAGGCTCAAACGCTATGCAGTGGCCATCACAGCAGGCTTCTGGCAAGATGGTTCCTGGCAACTCATTGGAGCTTGCACATGCATAGCCCCTGGGGAGGCAACAGAGGCAAGAGCATGGTTCTTCGGCTGCTGGCTGATCCTTCAAACCACTTTGGGGCGTCACCAAGTCAACATAGCCCGGCGGTCAGCAAAGGCAGCAAGGGCACTTGTGCACCTGAAATGTGGCACAGTCTACCAGAAGGTGAATGGCTGCGATTGAAAGTGCTGCATGTGCCCAAGAAGCTCCTTCGAGAGACAGGAGATGATCAACGTGCCTGGCTCCAACATCAAGAAGCCATGCAATGTGCCCTCACTAGAGCAAATCGTGAAGCGCCGCATGAGCTCAAGCTGCAGCTCCAGGAGGATGACAAGTGGTATCAGGCAGTGTATGAAACAGCAGCCTTGAGAGTCAGTACCCTCCTCACTGACCCGGAGCACTACATGAATGGGCATGTGGAACCTGTGGCAGAGCCATTCAAAGTGAAACAAGAAAGGCCACGTGGGCGCCTAGATGTACTTCGTCGGTTGAGCCAACATGAGCCAACAAGACACCGGCCCGAGCAAACATCAATGGCAACTGAAAGGCCATGGACTGAGTTGCCAACAATGCGGCCTGCACATCAAGAGCTGCTCCACGGCCTGCTCCCTGGAGCTGCACCAAGAGCTCCTCCAAAGAGGCCACGGTTTGCCCAGGAGAGGAGGATCATTTCCTCAAGACTCTGACCGAAATCATGGAGGACATGATCGCCACTTCGTCACTGTTGACAGAAGACCAGCCTGGGCATCGATGGTATGTCAGGGCCAGTTCCTTTGGGTGCAGCCGCTGTTGGCTCAAAGTGGCCAAACGCTGTGGCAAGGAGGCGCTTCACAAACTTGCCAATGAGCCCTGCCAGTATGAGGTGGTTGATGAGCAGGCGCTGAACCTGCGCATGAGAGTGCATACTCAGCACCAGCTGATGAAGAGAGGCCAATGGGTTGAGTGCCAGAAATGTGGTAAGGTGACGAAGCCCCATGACGGGAAAGCTCAGGCTTGGTTGGGCCAAGAGTGCACTGCTGCTGGAAGGCAGACCAAGCTTCGTTTTGCGCCGGCCAGCTCGAGCAGCTAGTCCTGCTGGCTTGAAGCCAGATGCAGGGTAGCCTAGTTGGCTACTTTGAGTACAGGGGCTACAAGGCGAAGGAGCCTTGGCCCAGCCGCTTTTGCCTAGAGGCGCGGCTCGTGAGTGCGGAGGAAAGAACCGAGCAAAAAAAAAAAGAGAGAGGGAGAGAGCCCTTTGTGACGAGAGAGTCTCCCCAGTCCATCTGATCTAGCAGTGCAAGATCTTCGATGGTAAGGGGCCTGAACTTTCAGAAGCCTGGAAGATCAAAATTGCAGAACATAAAGGAAGAGAAAAAATGAGAAAGAAGGAAGGTAACCCTTGACCTTTTTGTGTTCATCTACGTCCTTATGTTACATAAATAGGCTCTTTTCTTTCTAGAAAGCCCGGCAACTCTTCGGAGCGGAGCGGCGTCAACTAAATGGTCTGCAGACCTGCTGTTCACCCTCTCAAACAATGGGCAGCCATTGCAGTTGGGCATTGGACTGAGGAGAGCTTTGTGGTTGATGGAGTGTGCATTGCCACCATGCTAGGCCAACAACGAGCCAATGTCTAAGTCTGTCTATGTCTATGTCTGCTGGCTCCTCCTCAAGGTGAAATGGGTAACGGTAAGCCGGGTAAGCACACATGCAATGTGCCTTCAAAGTGTTCAAAGCTTCAAGAAACAAGGCACGTGGGAGCTTGTAGCTGATCTTAGGCATAGTCTTGGCAACCGAGAACGGCAGCGTTTGCATGTGGTTCATGCTACGGGGGCTCAATCGAAGGCAAGCCGCCGACAGTCATATGGGTCCAGTATGCTGAAGGGTGAAGCATGGGCCAGGGCCAGTCTCCTTCTGCAAGAGCGAGAGCAACACATAGATCTGTCTGAGGGACCGGTGGGTGTTCAACAATCTTAGGATCCGTCGAGGGTGGATATCTACCAACTCCTGGCTCAACGTCCTATGGAACAGCTGAGGCTGAAACATCATTAGGCATTGCACAAGGGGGTGAAATGCTCCAAGTGCAAGCCGCGCATCAAAGTGTGACGAAAAGCAAGCTCAGGAGACAAGCATTGAATGCCAGAAATGGACATTGTCCATGCCACATGATGGTCATGCAGGCATTGGCAAGAGAAACATGCAACTTTGAACCCTGCCAACCTGACGATCCCCCTCTGGCCACTGTTCACCCCCTTCTCATGTAGCCCATCAGATGAACAGCATTTGCAAATGTGACGAAGTGACAGGATTGAAGAAGTCAAAAGAAATAAACAGCCACTCCTACCACGCAAAATTGCCCTGAGAGCCAACCGACCCTTTTTCCCAATACTGTACCAGTTGAAAGGCTTGGTGCAGTACTGTTTGATGAACCATCGTATTGTATTTGTTGCTGTCCATCGTGATGTGTCATCGTTTTTGCTAGCGTGGCGCATCATTGATAATTGTTTAATTTCACGGTTTCTCATTCGTCTTGTCATGCACATCTTGTTTGTGTTAGCTAGCTGCTACCAGCAGTTCTGGTGTCTGTGCGTTTGGCGGTCCATTGTTGCCTAAATATTGCCTTTTTGGGACCAAGTACGGCTTGGAAGTTGCACTGGGCAAAAGCATTGCCAACACCTGGTGATTCATGCAAATACCAAATATGTAAATGGTTTTAGATTGCACTTCCATGGTAGGTTGGGACGGCCGCAGTTGAAGGAAGTGCGTCACAAGACCGGCACAAAAATCAGCAATGATGTACAACGCATTTCTTCAAGTCAATGGGGGCCCAACGCCTTTTGCATCAGAATCATTGGCACTCGCACTTGAGCGTAGCAATAGTCTTGCCTAGGCGATCTGACGGGGATGTTTCCACTCACCAAGGACAAAAATCCAAAGGCAATATGTGAGTGTATATAATGGTAAATAGTATACATATATATATGGTGGTTGATCAACATTCTTCATCCTGGAATGGCCCTTCTTCGCGGAAAAAGAATATGTTTCGCGGCCCCATCGCGAAGCATGGTCCTACAACCATGCCTGGCCAACATGAGCCGGAACTATTCATGTTTGCATCACAAAATAGGGACTGACATCTTGCAGCGTAGCTTAGAATAGACTATGACTAGAGTTAGGCACAGCTCAGCACAGGGTGATGCAGCTTGGGGAATGTGGGAGCCCTCAAGCTGGGAACCTGGACTTGAGCGGCACATTCGCGAAACTTTCGCGGATCTTTTCCAGGAAGGCGCAATTTTTGCAACATCTCCGCAGCCCGTCAGAGCAGTGCCTACTCAGGCCACTAGTTTGTGACAGTGGGGACAGGAATCGGAGAATCCTTTACGCACTGCGGGGGCTGGGCAAGGAAATGTTGAGGCTCAGAACGTTGATGCTTTAGTTCGTTAGCCTGCGGCAATGGGGGCATGCGGGGACACTTCCGCTCACGGGCTCTGCCGGCGAGAGGTTTGCCTTATATTTCTACCATTTGTCGGTCGGTGGAAAGGAAAACATATGAAAGCGAAGACCTTCGATAAATCTTCCGCGGATAAAATGACAATGAGTTGAACTTTCTCAGCACAGGGTGGGGAACCCGCCACCAACGAAAACACTCTCGATTTCCTGTCGCTGGGGCTGATCATCCCAGCACACCTGCGCCGTGACCCGGTTATTTCTTACTTGGTTCCTGCTTTTCATAAGACCACGATCGTTTCGTTGCGCCGAGCTCAGCAATCACGTTGCTTTTGCTTTTCCGCGTTATTTGAGGGGGCTTTGAGGCTATTTTTTGGACTCTTGTGCCTCCGTTCTTTGGTGTCTTTGAGGCTACTTTTGGCCCTGGTGTGAGCCCGAAGTACTGTCCTGCGGCCCGAACTGAGGGGTGATATCGTTGCCTGTCTGTAAGCAACAACAGCTGCCCATACAAGCGGCGTACTGAAGTCAACCCACGTCGCGTGAAGTCAACTCACTGCGTGGGCACAAGGTTTCAGCGAGAAGTCAACCCACTCGCGTGAAGTCGACTCATTTTGGTTAAAGCACAATGGGCACACTTGAAAAATGAGCACGGCAGGAAAGTGGTTTGCTCAAGGAAAAGTCTGCGCACACTGTGTTATGGCTGGCATTTGGCCTTGCTTTCTAGATGTTTCAAGCCCAAATCTCAATGGTACAGCACCATTCACACCAATGCACAACTTAGAGAATGGGTTGTATGCGAACACACACTCTGACATTCTGACATTGGTTTTCTGTTAATCGATTCCCAAGTGGAAAAAGGTGAGGGAACAGCAAGGCGAGCAAGTCAGGTCACTTGAAATGCTGAACAATTGTTGTACTCAGCGGTCGAACTCTCGCGCGGCTGACTGCAACTCACGAGCGGCTGAAAGCTGCGGAGGGAAACCTGTTTTAGGGAAGGTATCATGGACAACCACCATGGAATCAAACTGTGGAAGAGTGGAGTAAAAGCGTGTGAAGAACTCTGCAGGTACGTCGATTTGGCGTCCCAAATCGATATCACCAGCACGCATCCAGTGTCTTCGTTGGTGCAAGACTGGATGGGCTGCTTGCACCACCTGCTTCGAAACAGAAAGGAAACAGCCCTTAGGAACAGGGTTTGACACACACACACACATGGCCGATATCGGCGCATATGTGTGGAATTCCGCAAGGCATCGGTTTTTTCGTAGAAAGCGCCGACACTCAGTGGGGTTGTGTCCCTTTAGGACATAGAGCCTCACGAGTTCCTCAGCTGCTGCCGTTGCTGTGGTTGGCATGTAGGCGTGAAGCAAGGCCTGACAGAGCGAGGCGCTGGCTCCCGGCGCTAGTGGGGTCCCGGATCTTCCAGGGTTGATTGGGTTGAATGTAGGTGATTGTGCGTTGGGGAAGGTAAATGTTGAATCCCAGGAGCCCAGGAGGTGGAAGTCCTCCACGGTTTCCAGCTCGACGGGATAGCCAAAGAAGTTGTGGTGGATCAAGGTTTGGATGGCTGGGTGGGAGAGGAAGTGTTCGTTGTGTACAATGAAGCGGTTGTCGACATAGCCGTAGTAAGAGAAGTGGAGGGCTGTGTGGTGGAGGAGGTTGTTGTGGAGCTGGTGCCAAGAGTGTTCGATCAGGGTGATGGCGACGTTGCATAGGGAAGGAGAGAGTTGGGAGCCAATCCCAGCCCCTCGAATTTGCTTGTAGGTGTTGTTGCACGCCCGGAAAATACAGGTGTTGAGTGCAAAGGCGACGATAATGGTGATGTCGGATGTGTGGAGTGTGCGTTGTGTGGGACGCTTCGCGTGGTGCCGGCCGACAAGGTTGCCGGCCATGGAGTGGTAGTAAGAGACTTGAGAGGAGGGAGACACGAAAGGTAGGACAGCGGGAAGAGAAGAGAACGCGAGAGGCAGGAACAAAAATGCATAATGATTTATCCCCTCGGAGGACCTTTCGTAAATCGTAAATATATGTTCATATGCACTCTAAATGTTCAAAAATATGCTCTCGAAATGTTCAAAAAGATATAAAAAGATTCTTAGGAAAACAAACTTGCCCCATGGATCAGATCATCGGTGAGCATTGCATCATAGGATTTGAACTACCCTGAAACCATAAGAGGCTCACGAAGACGCTCTCCAGGAGAGAGTTGAATTTAGGGGGGGGGGGGGGTCTGTATTAAAATCATCTAACAAGGGGGGGGGGGGGGGTGGGGGGGGTTGTATGGAAAAATAAATTCGGGGGGGGGGGGTTGAATTGAGTGATCAATTATTAGACCCGGACGTCCCAACACTTGCTTCGCAAGACAAACTCAAGGTATCCCCTAAAGGGCTACCTTTCGTGATAATGGTGCGGCCCTTTTGCCATTGGTTTTTGGCTTTGAGATGGAAAATCCCATAGGGAATGGTGAAGTCTTTGCGGAATATCGAGAACGGAGGCTCGGTGGAATGGTAGCTGAAAGGTGGTCATGGATGTTGGCTGATGTGAGGTGTGGTAGTGGTTCAAAAAGTTCAGGGGCTTGCCATGTGTTGAGTGCTCCATGTGTTGAGTGCGCGGGCCCGCCCCAAGCTTGGAGAAGGTGTCCTTCCAAGTTTTGTCCTGGGATTCAAGCTCTTCTGGTGAAGCAGACTCCCTGGCAATAGAGACCCCAACGACCCGGTTTCGCCTTTGGGGAAGGAGATAGTTCTGGGTGTCAACTTTCTGGTAGCAGAACCTGTGGCCCAGTTTGTGGAGGTCTTTGATGACGGTGTCGACCAGTGGTGGCTGTGGCAGCCCGTTCTCGTCGGAGATGCCTGAGCGGTTGCGGGAACGTGGATGGTGCGGGTGGCGCTTTGGAGCCTTTTTATCTATTTATTGTACCTTGCATGGCGACCACTATTGTATTGTCTCAAAGAATATAAATAAGCATATGGTTTCTTGCTCCAAAGCCACCGCTCTTGGCAGGCTGTTGACTTGGGCCCATATCCTATCTACTACGCTGTTTCCCGCATATTTGCACAGCAGGCATATTGAATATATGCTTCCTTTGAGTGTGCAGGGTTGGCAGAAACTCTTTATATTAGGGAGGACGGCACAAAATGCACTGCTAGTGCATAGAGGTGCTTGGTGGTCAGTGGAATCGCATGGAATCGCACAAGACCATTTCAGAGCGGGAGGGGTCAGTGAGTATAACTAGCCCAACGGATTTCCATGAAAAGGAACTGTTATCATGATTCAGTGCGTCCTTGGTTTTCTATCTATTGTATCCCCAAGGGTGTGGAGACATCACAAGCGTCTCCCACTACCTAAAGACCTGAACCCTCCCCAAATGAAACTGGCTGCAACTAAACTTGATCTCTCCTTTGCCTTTCCAGCTGGCACGTGCAGCCCTGGTGCGCAGGCACAGGCAGACAGTGCAGGTCAACGCAAGATGGTGCCTTTTACAACCCTACTCGGAATTAATCTATATATATATACAAAATATGTATATATGTATAGGTTGATGGATCTAATTATGTATACATATAGAGATGTTTAGATCTAGATAGAGGGTGGTAGCAGAAACTCTTTGGGAGGATGGCGCAAGATGCACTGCGAGTATATAGGTGCTTGGTGGCCAGCGGAATCGCGCAAGACCATTCCAGCGCGGGAGGCATCAGTGAGTGTAACTAGGCCGATGGATTTCCGTTAAAGATCTTTTTATTGGTTTAATATGATTCGATGATGCATCCCTACTTTTCTATCTATTGTATCCCCAAGGGTGTGGAGCCATCACAAACGTCTCCCACTAGGTAAACCTGGGGGTCACCCCAACTGACCTTGGTCCCTGAATTGCCTTCCAAGCTGGCGTGAAGCCCTGGAGCACTAGATCGCTGGGAGGAAAAGACAGGCTCGAAAGACAGGATGCACCTTTTCCATCTTCTGTACCCAGCAAGGTGGTGAAGAAGATGTTTGTTCATGAAGAACGACTGTCGCGCACACACCCATGTGTATATATTGGTGTTGTCCACAACATACTAAGTGACTGAGAAAACCAGGATTGCAGTCGCCATACTGGTAGGCTCTTCAGGATGGCCAATAAATCCAATTACCAACTTGCATGCCTGTGTACTGGATTGGCGTTTGCGCATTAGTGTGAGTATGCGCTGGCGGGGTTGGTGCCTGTTACATGTTACTGTTGTATATAGATGGTAGTGACCCCCCTTTCCTTTGATTTGCAACTTTTTCCACACAGCTGAGCCATCCCTGCGGCTTGACGCAAATGACTCAGATGAAACCAAAAGGGTTGGCGTCGGAATCACTTCTGTTTGTTGAACTTCTTCAGGCAATTCGCACACACTGGCAATTTTTGCGCGTTGTGGGATGGAATGCAGCCCGGGTAGAAGTGAACCTGCAAGCCAGGG